ATGTGGTGTCATATGCCTTTTTCATATCTAAGAATACTGAAAGAAAAACGTGTTTATGAACAAAAGCATCGGGTATTTATGCTTCGATACGTAACAGATCGTCAGTGGTGGATCTACCCATGCGAAATCCACACACAGCAGGTTGTTGTTTCCAGGAAATGTAGTGTGGTTAATCATCTTCTCAAAAAGCTTACACAAACAACTTATTAGAGCGATCAGCCTGTAACTCGCAAAAGAAGACGGATCCTTGCAGCGTTTTAAAATTGGAATTACAATGGCCTCTTTTCAAGAAGCAGGAATCTCACTGGAAGACCATATGGCTATTACACAGGGAGAGTAATGTTTTCCGAGTTTTGGGAGGCAAGTTTTTCAACATATCGTGAACCACGCGATCAGAACCAGAGGCCGAATCACTGCAGCAGCCCAGCCATGCATGTACCTCAGCCAAGCTAAAAGGCTGGCTGCAAGCCTCATATTTTGTGCATTTGCATTCAAGTTTCTGCTTTTCAATTCTTGTTTTGTATCTTTGGAAGGCTTCACTGTAGAGTGACCAGCTAGAAACCTGTTCGAAATGAGCACCGAGAGAGTTCGCTTGGTCATCAAGAGTGTTTACGAGAAGGAGTGAGCGTACTTGTCTTCCTGCTAACCTACTAACCATGTTCCAGAGTTCAGCCTGCTAATGTATATGAATTGATGCCTGATAAAAACTTGTGCCAACATTCCCGTTTGGCCTGTCGGCACGTTCTTCTGCCTTGGGACTTAATGTTTTTTAGAATTAGTAAAATTTTCCGTTGTGGGTGAGTCCTGAAGCAGCTTCCATGCTTTATTTCGCTTTGTACGTGCATTTTGACATTAACTGTTCCACCAAGGTATGCGTCGCTTAGCAGATTGTCCAGTTTGGGGGATACACTTTGTTGCAGCATCAATAAAAAGAGCTGCAAAGAAGTCTACAGCGGCATCTATGCTCAATCCACACATATATATCGACCAATTTAAGCGAGTAGCTAGTCGGAACCGTTCGCAGTCGGCCTTGTCTGTTTGCCATCTCGGAACTTGTGGAAGACCTTTGTCTATCGATGTGCTCAGTATTATTGGAAAGTAGTCACTTTTGAAAGGATTGTTAATCACTTTCCATTGGAGCAGCTGTAAAAGCGATGGAGACGTAATGCTGAAATCTATTGATAAATAGGTTTTGTTGGCAAGACTTAAGTATGTTGGCTCTTTGCTAAACAGACACGCACCAGAAGAAAATAGAAACTGTTCGATAAGGCGACCTCGTGCATATAGGCGAGGATCACCCCATAGATCATTGCGTGCCTTCAGGTGCCCAAGGACCAGACAAGGTTCTGGCAGTTCGTCTATTAAAGAGCGGAATTCATGTTTTTCAAGATGGTGGTGTGAAAGTATATAGAGAGCAGATGATGACAAGTTTATTGAAAAGAACAGCTCGAACAGCCACTACCTCAAAGGACGTTTGGAGTCGTAAGTGTGTACATGCTACTCCTTGGTTAACTATAATGGCCGCGCCACCGGATGACTTGATCGTATCATTGTGGTGCTTTCTGAATATTACATAACGACGTAGAAAATTGGTGTTGTAGGACTTTAGGTCTGTCTCTTGTACACACAGCCCTTTCGATGAATGTTTGTGTAGGAGTTGTTGGACCTCACCGAGGTTTCTAAAAAGTCCTCCGACGTTCCACTGTATGATTTGTGTATTCATATTGGGTGTAAATTAGTGCTGTGTGTACGAAAAGAGCTAGTGACTTAAGTCCGGGAGCCCTTGTTGGGCCCCGTGATGAGGGTTTTTTACTTTTTGGCGTGCTCTTACAAGCTGTGCCTATCCTTCGGCGTCTGGGACACCGATGGACTTGCTGTTGTGTCTATCACTTCGGACGAAGTGCTGGATGTCCACTCACGGTTGACGCGTATGGCAGCGGGAGGTTTAGGGCTTTCTCTCAGAACAGCTGTGGCTGCAGATCCAGGGGCCTGCGAGCCTTTTGGCTGCAGAGCAGACCTGCTGCTGCTTCTGAAGGGGTGGATGGCGCTACCGCTTGTCCATTCTGTGGCGAACGTGCGAACTCTGCGGACTTTGGTGGTACTGTCCCCTTGCATACCATTTCCGCAAACGATAGACCCTACGCAATATAGAGACGTTTGCGCGCCTCCCTAAAGGAGATGTTTTCATTGATCTTGAGGGCGATTATTTCCTTTTCGTGTTTTCACGCAGGACAAGCACGGGAATACGCTGGATGCCCACCATTGCAGTTTGCGCAGTGGGGAGTTTTCACACAGTTGTATGAAGCGTGGTCATTTGAGCTACACTTGGCACAGGTTTGACGGCCACTGCAGCTGTGAGAGCCATTGCCGAAATGCTGGGACTTAAAGCAACACCGTGGATTCAGGATGTATGGTCATACCATTAGCTTTAGGTAGCCTGTTTCAAGATATTCAGTTAGGGTGCTTGTGGAGAAGGTTACAATCAAGTGTTTTGTGGGTATTTATTTGTGTCACGTCGTAGTTCGATTCACTGCACATAAGGCACATGATGTTCATTTCAGCCCTCAAGGAGCTCGTTTCCAGTCAAATTAAGAAGGTCTTGGTCAGACGCTAGACCTTGGGAGCTGCTCAGAGATCGATGTGGTGTTATTGAGACAGGGGTGCTTCGAAACGAGACAAGTTTTGAGAGGTTTTCATACTGGTTCTTGCTTTGCACTCCAAAGAGCAGGTCCCCACTAGCCATACGAGTAGCCTTATAACCTTGCCCGAGTGTATTTGTGAGGGTTTTTGACACAATAAAAGAGAGATCGTGGATGACGTAGAATCAGATTCAGAAAAAAGTTTAAACTCTCATTGGTGCATCTCCTCTTTGTGAGGGGACGATCATTCAGTTGAGGAAACGAACTCGAGGCCATAAGGCATAAATATTTTTGGCAGCCTTGCCAGCTGCCCACCACGGAGCCCAACATGGGAGCGCAACAGTACTTATTCGATAATACACGCCAACGCCAGCTCTAAACAGCCACTATAGCCAAATATAATGTGCCCAAGAGAGGGCACACACAGAAGGTTAAACCTCACCGCCAGAAAAAAATGGAAGTAAGCGGAAGGTAGAAGATGACAGGACAGATAAAAAGTGAGAAAATACGAAGATGTAGGAAGAGAGAGAGATAGCAAAAGGCGACTGCCGATTTTCCCTGGGTGGGTCCGCCCAGGGGTGTCGTCTACGTGAAGCTGGGGCCAAAGGCGTGTGTTGCCTCTGCCGGAGGGAGGGGCCTTAGAGGTTCAATCAGCCGGCATCAGCTTAACCCCCAGGATCCCCTTTTCCCCGGACATGGCTAGGTGTAAGAAGGAGTCCAATCCCCCCCCCCCCCCTCCTTGTTAGCTCGGGTCCGAGGTGTCGCTAACACCTAACACCTGCTTACACAAACCCCCCTGCGGGCTGCGTTTCTTATTAAGGAGCAAAATATGCTGCATCTCGTGACAGCAGTAGCCCCTTCTGAATCTTGGAACACATTTCTGCACGGCTGCAGTATACTGAGGCAAAAGTGACTAAGCAACAACACAAGGCACGCGATAGAGCAAGGCTAAGTAATATTTTTTTTCTCCTTAGTCAACAAGCCATTGTAGGCTGACAAATGAATGGCTTTACTTGTGATTGTTAGTGGTATAAGAAATCCAAATGCTCAGCCAGAACCAACAAAGGCAGCAGGTATTTTAAGGCATGCACAGGCAAAAACTGTGAATTCACCAAATTTATGCAATGGAGAAGTTTGAATTAGATGCCTTTAAAATGAATCTAAAATGCACAGGTCCAACCAAAAACAAAAAATTTTTCTGAATTAATCAAAAGTCTGAATTATCGTGAGTGCTATATTAAGAGGTACCATACAAAGATGGGAATAGTCTGTTTCTGTTGCAGTAAAGATGCTTAGTGAGATTATATTAAGCAAACAATGCTGTCAAGCTATTTCTGCATTCCATTTGCTAAAATGTTCCATACTTGTTCACACAACGATGTGATGTGTTTTACTGATGTGGCTTAGAAGGATCTTTTCAAAATAAAGCTGCATGAAGTGCATTGGGTTGCAGAGAACAAAAAAGTGGAACTGAAAATGGTTCCACGTAATGAGGAAGAAAATGTGGTTGCCGTTTAAGATGCATGGGCTGCAGGCTGTTTAGGCTCAAGGCAATCGGGTTCTGGACCCAAGCCAACTGATAGGGTCGTAGATCCAGCATTGATCACCTTACCTATCGCAGCAGACACGTGCAGACATGCAAGTGACTCAACTGTGTGATAAACTTTTACTATCTAAGACTGAATTTTGTAGGGTAGATTTTTCAGATTATCTTTTCGTAAAAACACAGTTTCCATCCTATTCATCGTTATTTGTCTCTACTTTGCTTCTAGTTTGTTAATGTCACAAATAGTGACATATACGTACAGGAAGCCCAATGTAAGACTGTGTCAAATGATTCACCTTCAGCAAGTGTCTCCCTTTCATTAAACAACCCGATCTGGCGATACCCCCATTTCAGTAACCAAGAACATGTGCACTCCTGTACCAATTCTGCACTTTCATTTTGTTCAATATTATTATTTCTGTTGTAAAAACTGACCTCATTTGAAAATTTTTTGCTGAAATGTCGAGGAGGGATTCGACATGTTTTCATAGTTCGCTGACAGCTAAACCTTTAAGGAGCATGCCAATGTTATCCTGCATAGCACACAAGCTAGGTGTCCCCTATGTAGGGAGACTCAACTCCTCACCCTCAATAATGGAAAATCAACCAATGTATTGATGTCTCACAGTGCATATGCCAGTACGAACATTTTCATACCGTTAGCATCTTGTATAAGTATCTCAAATGCTTATCATCACAGTACCTTCTACGTGTATCATGACACAATCGCGAGGTATCTTTGCACAGCCCTGCTTTATACGTGCCAGGAATGTGCAAAGTAAGACAAAAAAGAAAGACGGGAGGCTTCAACTGACCGGTTCCTCCACTCTTTCTTCTGTTCCAAGAGAACATGCTGATGCTTCTGTGCCATGACCTCGCAGTCGTCCCGAGCAGTCTTTGTTGCATCTCGTTCCATTTGAAGTTGCTTTTCCAGGTAATCAATCTGTCGCTTCATGTTTTCGATGACACTTTCGGATTCTACATCGCTTGTCTCAGATGTGTTCGCACCAGCTGCATTTTGTTTTTGCTGCTTGAGTACGGAGTGGGCACGAACCTGCAATGTTGCCGTCAGAGTGTCCCGGTGTAAATCCTTCAGACATCTATTTATTGATCCAGCTTGCCTAGCAACCAACAAGGGACTGCCCAAATGATTCAAAACAAAACACTGAGAGAACAGGCTATCCTAGAAAATGACAATCTGATAAACAAAACTGCTGCTTAAATGAAACAACTACCTCTGGTGTGATTGGTTTCATACTTGTAAGCTGCACCCCTGCTCATCTCTCAGTAAACGAAACTCCTGTTAAATGGAACATATTTTCCTGGTCACTTCAGGTTTCGTTTAAGAAACAGGAGCCTACTGTATTAGAATTTTGCACTCTAACTAGACAAGGTAGGCATGGACTCGGCACATCACTGTAACGCGACTACCGTGTCCTATTTTAGCTTGATGAAAGGCAAAATTTGTCTTTAAAATGCAAAGCATTTTGTAGTGAATCAAAGGCACTTTAGTGTTTCTGTCACTATCTCACTGCTTACACAGGGGTGCAACAGCCGAAATGCAATTTGGAGCAATTTTGTGAGCAGCAAAATGTTACTTCTGGAGCACTAAAATCCAGAGTTAGAGCAAGTTACGGGGAGAAAGACATGCATTTTTTTTATCACGAAATATCAAATTAAGAGCAGCATAAAAAAAGCTTACATTTAGAAAAAAATAAAAATATATGCATAAACAATTCGACATCAGCTGAATCATGCTGTGTGAGCATGAGCACTGCTATTGCAATGAAAGTAGTATTTTGAGCCACTCCACTGAGCAAACAATGATAAAGTCTATATTAGCATTTGCAGTGATAGCACCGAGGTCTTCTGATTTGGAGCAATTTTTGGAGCAGCGAAATTTTCATTTTGGACCCTTTTGGAGCAGCAAGTTTCCCTTTTGGAGCAATCTGGAGCAACTTCACATCCAGGAGGAGCAGCAAGTTCCATTGACATTCAAGGGCATGAAAAATTATTTTGGGGCTCATGTCTCATGTGGAGAGCTAGAAATCTTTCCATTCATTTCATATCTTATGAAGCCAGTTATCTAAGGAGCACTCCCTATTTTAGTTGATAATGCAAGAATAATGGCATCATTATGTTGGCCATTCTGAAAAACTTGTCCAGTGAATATTTTTGTAGCAAATAAACAGAATACTGGCTGAATAAAAGTGTACTTCATGAAATAACAATCTATACATCTAGGTAGTTATCAGTATATACGGATAGACAAATGCTGTGACGTACAACACTAGAGACACACACAGTCGCAACTGCATTTCCCTTAGGACGACTTCAAGGATATAGAAAGGTTCTTTTTCTTCACAACCGATTACACTGCTAGGCTTAACATGAAGTCATTTAGCCAGTCTCATAAAGCCAACCTCTTCCGGCACTCATCTCTAGGTGCTGAAACTACACGATTTAAAAACTTCGTTTTCAATTTGCAGCGATGTTTTTATGATGCTAAGTACATTTATGTCTATACAACGAAATTCCCCTTGTAGAGTTCCAGAAAGCAGTGCATAAAGAAAAAAGAACCCCACGGGTTCCTCAAGCATATGCCCAAGACGACTACAAGACGACAGCCATTTTCTTTTTATTGCGATAACAATTACAAAAACATTCTCGACCAGTCTTTGCCATCACCAGGGGCATAGGTAATTTTTTTTATTTTTGAGGGGAGAGAGTGCACCTTGATCTGAAGGGGGAGCATGTAAATGATAATGTTGAGCCATAGACAACATGCCATGTGATGGCAAAAAAACACTTCGGAAGGAGAGGCCCATTCCCAATGTGCCCCCCCCCCCCCTCCCCGGCTATGCCACTGGCTGTCGCCGTGATGTTTTGTCCAATCAATAACCCAATCAATAACAATCCCAATCAATAACATCCCCCCCATGCATCGTGTGTTTTATAAGCGGGCAAAAGCTCGCGACTAGGGGTGACAAACACAGATAAAGCAGAGTAAAAAAGCCACAGTTTCTCCGGGAGAGCAAAGCAATGAATGCAATAGCAACAACTAGCAATGTAACGTTGAGAACGGCAAGCAGATCGAAACGCACAGTGCACTGCTCATGCACAAATGATGCACAAACAAAATATACAGTGGAACCACGATTATACAACTTTTAGGGGACCACGCAAAACCGTCGTATAATCGAAAAACTGAGATTATACACCGCGACACTCAGCCTTGCCCGCAAAACGGGTACAGACTGCCTTGATAAGCCCACAGCACGACCTTCTGCCTCTGAAATGAGGGTAGATTAAATTATTATTGCCAGTGATAACTAATGGCAGCAATAATTAGTTGAAGGAGGTCCAAGTGAATTTTTATTTTTAGCCTTAAAAACAATCAAATCCAACGCACATCTTTCTACCGATAAACTAGTCAGAAAATTGCCTGCGCAGAAAAACGAAACCACGTTGCCGTGAGCCTCCCGTCAGATGAGTCAGACGCAGTGTAATCGCTATCGTATAATGGTGACAGACAATAAGTTTATGCACAATGCATTCATGCGCGAGCTGTGTGCATTGTAATTTGTTGCCTCGTGAAGTGCAACTATTGGTGTCGCACTGTTGTTATAAATGTTGACGTCAAGTGAAAATAATTTTGCACAGGCGAAAGCAGCTGTGTCGTGCCCTTATGCATGTGCAAACCAGTGACTGCAAGTGTGACAGAGCCAGGAGACCAGCTGTATGTCGACCAGGAAATGTTTCCACAGACCGAAAATGTTAAAATATCAGCTTTTTGGTCAGCTGAACCTACTCTATGTAGATAGAACTTGACTAGGTAATGAACTTGGGTACGTATGCACGTGATTGAGGCGTAGGTAGAAGTGCATGAGCTTCCGGGAAAATAAATTTTCCATTCGATGAGGATGACTACTTTTCCTGCTCTTCTCCTTGGGGTATGAATGTTCATATTTTGCACTCGTGACTATTTCGTCAACATGTGATTTGAGTAACGGTGGCTTTTTTCTTTCCAACAGAATCTGAAAGTCGTCGTAAGATGCGGCGTCTGCATAAAACTGCGTAGTTTAACCAAGGTTTTTAATAAATTGTTTCCATAGGGAATTTTCCCGGGACCAAACCGATTCGTCGTATAATGCAGGTGACCGCAAAACCAGGGGATGTACAGTCAAATCTCAATAATTCGAACTCGGAAGGGGCCCGAAAATTTGATCGAATCAAAGAAGTTTGAATCAATGAAAGCTAAATGAACGGAGGGCTCACCATGGAGTGGCGCATGTGCACAGAGCTAACACACGAGGGGGAAGCTTCAGAAGATTTACATTCACTTTTTTTTCTTTGATTTATTTTTAGAAAACCGCTTGCTTTTGTTCCCTCTCTCTCTGTCTTCGCACGCGGCGTTCAAGGAGAAGGGTCTTCACGTGGCAGGGACAAAAAAGGAATAAGCGTGGAGCAGGCGCATCGCAGATCGGCATTTGAGAAAGAGCAAACATTTCACCGCAGCCTTTTTCTTTCCTTCTCCTTCGCCCTCAGCGTTGAGGTGTCAAAGGTGTCAGCCGCAGTAGCATTTTAGGAGCGCGGAATGTTAGAATTAACCATCGGAAGTGCTTGCGCATTCAAATTACTGGCGTTTTTGCCCATTGAAATACACATAGCTATGCCAGGACCTCAGCATGAGTTCGAATTAACTGGAAGTTCGACATAAGTGTGTTCAAATTAATAAGATTCGTCTGCATAATCGAAGTTCCACTGTACACCGGACGAGAGCGAACTACCAATGTTTACCGCTCAACATTTAATACGCTGTTTAAACGAATATGACACACGCAATGTAGCCAAGTACAGATGAGTACAACTAACAAGTGCCCCAGTTATACTTCGCTGTGTATGAAAAGCGCACTCTTTTTGCCAACGAGACTTGTGCAGCCAGCAAGTTACCTTTGTGTTGGGCCCAGCAACTAAGGAACTAACGCTATCATTCGGGTGAAAGCCGAAAGCACACAATTCTCCCCACCGAAAGATAAGTGCACGCACACAAGCAAAATATATATTACCTTCCCCCCTTCATGGGGCAAAGTAGGCGTAGGAGATAAGCGCGCGTTCGCGCATCGTGACAGACTGGGTGCCGAGCACAGGCGGCTTTTTCATTCTCGAGTTTTTATATATATAGACATGTATAAATGAACAATGAATGGCGGTGGCAGCGAAAAACCAGCGGAGACTGTCCATATAATTGCCATCGCAATAAAAGAGCCGACCTACCTCGTTTGCACAGAGTGCAGATGCGATAGCGTTACCCCGTGTGCCAAGCCTGCCATCGATTGTCAATAAAGCAGAGAGAAACGCGCCAGCCATCTTCAAAAAGCAGGAAGGAACTAGTAACGCAAGAGGGGTGGGGGGGCATTGTTATGAAATTTGGGTGTTATCACTGGCACTTGCACTAATTCTGCAGGCATTACAAACGGCTGTTATACCCTTCTATCTTGTACTTTCAATACGAACAGACTGCCGGTATCACTATGATTGCTTATAGCCTAAGTGAAACTAACAAATAGTATACTTTGCACACGATGTCACACTTCTCAGATGAACGCTGGCTAAAAGGACAATGATCACTCCAAATGCCGAAGCAGTTTTTGCACTGTCAGTTACCTAAACACGAAGCATAGGTTATAGTAGCACAGAAAGTTTACGAGCATGTCTCATTAGGCCTTGCGATATCACGCTCACAAATGCTACCCTTCAAATGACGCAGCTTCCTGCCCCCTCCTCCTCCCACCCAAAATAAAAACAATGAATATGTTCATTTTTTTTTAACCATCAGTCATTGACCTAGGAAAGCGAGAAGCGGATGTGTAACAAGGCGTAGCCGCTTCACCGTGGGCCTTTTAATCTTAGAGCCGCTTGCGATAGCCCCCCTATTGAAAGTTGAGTGTATTAAGACTGAATTTGAACAGTTCAAACCAGGAAGCATGCTTTTAATAATGAGATGACATTAAAAAAAGCATGCGAAAATTTGAATACACATCCTAGCAATCTCGAGTTTGAAATGGCAAAGTGATTTGACTGACAACTGATATGTGGGATTTAACGTCCCAAAACCACGATGTGATTGAGAGACGAAGTAGTAGAAGGGTTCCGAAAATTTTGACCCCCTGGAATTTTTTAACATGCACCCTAAATCTGAGCACACAAGCTTAGAGCATTTCCGCCTCCATCGGAAATGCAGCCGCCGCAGCCGGGATTGGATCCCGCGACCTGCGGGTCAGCAGCCAAGTACCTTAGCCACCAGACCACCGCGGCGGGGCTGAAATAGAAAAGTGTTTTAGGAGCTTTTACCGCAACAGCGATTGCAAAAGCAGATGTGCTGGTGGAAGGAATTACGAAAATTAACTTCTGAATGAAGATCCATAAAATAGGTATATTAAAGTAAAAGTGTCAACCCATTTCCACTATGCACCGTGTTCTTCTGTGGACACTGAAGCGCGAGAAATTAGACCACGCTGCGATATCCATAAGTAGATGTGACACACATTCTGGTGGCGCATACGCATGTAGCTGTTAGTAAAAATTGCTTTAATTACGTGCCGCGCAACTCTTCAAATGAACTATCAGCAGAAATTCTGGAACAGGCGACGCCCGCCGATTAATCGCCGCCACAGTTTCACGATACAAATTGGAGTAGACGTCACGAGCCTCTGCAGAGAGTACGTTTTACCGTTAAGCGGACTTGCATAGCAGAAGTTGTGTCTTCACCAAACATAGCATCGTAGATTACTTAGGACACACGTGCGACCGCTGTTAAATCAGCGGAATAATTCTAGGCACATAATTGTGATTTTGGTGGCCCCGAGAACAAGATGCACATGTTCTGACGCGCCGGTGTGGCTATTGCCGATGATAGACACTCCCAAGTCCAACTTTGGCACAGTTTGCCACAATTTTCTTTGATATTACCAGGATGGTGCAGTAAATCTGTTTTGGTGCGCTTTGGCCCAGTTGGCGCAGGAGTAAGATTACTACATTTGTTGTGTCTTTCAATTCGTTTGACAGACTCTGAAAGTTCAAATAGGGATATGCCAAGGTGCCTACCTTGAAATTTGGGAGATTCGTAACACCAAAAGTAGAGGTGGCAAAAAAAAAACTGGTGCACAATTTAGTTTTTTTTGGGGAAGAAAATATGTCATACACTACTCCAAATGATCGCCAACAGCTTATTTAGACATCTCTGATTATACTGGTATTAAGAATTATGCGGTGTACAAATGCATGCGTAACTGAATAAAATGTGCAGTGTCCTGTGACTAGCGCTTACAGCCCCTTCCAAATCTCAATACGCTTTTTCGCAGGGCATTGGTGTACTGCAGCAAAGGTGGCTTAAGCAGCATTCTCTCCATGGGTTAGAACCAAATCCAAGAAATTTTCTAACCGCTACAGCTCCCCCCTCCCCCAACTTCTCACCCCTATTTTTTTTCTTTATTATTTCACCGTGGGGTTAAGTGCCCCTTCTGCTCCCTTGCGAGGAGCAATCAACGAGGTAAAGTAGTAACGGTGCACCCGTTGGCCAGGCAGCGTGTTTGACAACCTATGCTGGAGAACGCGCGAGAGAGAGGGGAGACACCCATGTCATCTGCTACGGCGCTGATTGGCAGCAGCTGTCACGAACGTCATTTCCGCGTTCAGTTAGAATTTTTGCTGCTTTTTGCGGTTGCCGCACCAGCAGCCAAAGCTGCCACGGATACACTGGTAGCTCCGGTACCGAGAGCCCTGAGAGCAGCTGTGTGTGTGGTGTGTTTTGTGAATCGGATTGCTTTTGGGTTGTTTCCGAACTACTGAAACCGTAAGTAAACAGTCTCGGGCAAATTGTGTAGACAGACTGCAACTGCAATCAAGACGTATTTGCCGCAGTGTCGCTAGCATCATGGCTCGCTTTTACCTGTAGATCCCACAGCATCTTCGTCACGGCTGTTAAACACATGTCAAGATTTATTCCGGTCGGCTTATTACGCTGTTGCAGGTATAATCGTACGTCACCGTTCATGTTTAGAGCGATTTCGAGGCCACCAACGGTCTTGCCTACAGGATCTATGCATATCATTAGTAATTGCGAGTTTAAACTATCAAGTGCTCATAATATGCCCCAGTCGGCTTTTTACCTGCAGCAAGAGCGGCGCAAAAAAGTGAAACAATCGTTCAATCATTGAGTATGTCCTGTTTTAAGATAAACAGCCTAGTTACTTGACATTGCAGTGTCGGTTCGTGATGCCAGCCAGTTTTGCGGACATTGTGCAGCAGACATTCTACAAAATAATGCAAATGTATAACTTGCAGGTAACCGTGGTAATATATGAAGCAAAATCAGAGAGATATGGGGTAGTTGCAGTGCAAAAACAAACAAACAACAGATTTGACAACATGTGCGTGGCTCCACACTGCATCACTGTGATGGTACTGAGCAGCTTACTACAATCACGAATAGAAAAAAAGATACATCACAGGCAGGTGGTGCAAAAGAAAACTGAATTATGGTTAAGGGTAAATTTAGTTTTCAAGAAATTTCTGCAAGACTATGTTTGTTTATGCCAAATGTTTTATTTGTATTACTTTCAAGGCGTGGGGGCATCGCAGGTGGGAGAAGAAAATTCAACGCACACAAATAAAGTAAGCATTTGTAATTTCTAATTTTACAGTGTTACGTATACGGTTCCCTGTTTCAGAGAGGATCAGGAATTTTATTATAAGTAAACAAGTACCAATGGACAGAGAAAGTAAAACCTCTGTAAATAATGTTATCAGCTTCCTCCTGTCTCAGCCCTGTTCTTCTTTTAATTTTTCATTGCAACCAATTCACTTTACTATTTCTACGCTTTCACATTAAGCCTTCGCTCTGAGTCACTCTTGCTGCCTTCAAGTGGACGGCTTCGGACAGGCAACATCCATATTCACGATAGGCTCCCAGCAGTTCTTCTAAACTCTGGGACCTCTTAATGCAATATTTTTCCAATATAGCTCTTCCATAACTGTTTTAATAAACTTGACATATATTGACTTGAACACATAAGCTGTGCTCAAGTGTAAACAGTGTTTTCAGAAACAAAATGAAAAAAGTTCACCTGCATTAGTGAACTAGACTGGGCTGGTTGGTATGTACATTACAAAATGTTGTATTTAGACAAGTAGGTACCGATCTGTCTAAAACTCAGAAGTATAAGCACTGGAAACCGCTCAAAGCATGAACAGGCAGCGTACCGCCATTAGATGCGGCCAATTAGAATGGGCATTGGAATGGGAATGGACCTTTAGAATGGGTGGGAAATTAAAACTTAGGCACGAGTTAACACGCGTGGCGAAAAACGAGCTCCCCACGCTATGAAACCCGCGGTCACTGATGGAAGTCTCGCTCCAACGAGTAAATCTTGTTTGTCTACTACTCGTTATAATGCCACGAGTGTGCATATGCCACCTGTCTATGCAGTCAGCCCCGACACTGTTTACTTACGGCTTCAGTAGTTCGGAAACACGATGAAGCGGAAATGTTGTAGGCCCGTGTGCTCAGATTTGGGTGCACGTTAAAGAACTCCAGGCGGTCGAAATTTCCAGAGCCCTCCACTACGACATTTCTCATAACCATATGGTGGTTTTGGAAATTAAATCCCACATATCAATCAATCAATCAATCAATCAATTAGTTCAGAAACAACCCCAAAGTAGTCGGAACACAGGCATAATGACACAACGCAGCACCGCGATCACTCGCTTCTCATCCCGCGAGCATGGCGACGCCGGCGAGGATAGACGAGGGCGTCAGGCATTGCGCGGAAATGACGTTTCCAGTAGTGGTAGCCAAAGAGCGCCGTAGCAGACGACATGAACGTCTACCCTCTCTCTCTCACACGTTCTCCAGCATACAGTTGTCAAGCACGCGGCCCGGGGACAGTATCGAATATCTATCGCCAGGACAATGGCCGGGACAACGCAACTTCAAGACAAAAAAAAAAGTTTTATGTGCCACTGCTAAGGCAATCAATGTGGTCGCCGACAACGGTGACCAAGTTTCGACCATGAAAATTTGAATTTCTTTCGATATGTTGGCACTGTGGGCAGAGTTAGGCCTAGCCACAACTCTAAGCAGTAATCTCGGTCGCAGTGTACGTGAACGCGGTGCCCAATGTTTCAAGGTACAGTCATGCTGGATCGCAAGTACAAAGAGTCGTCCTGCAATAGTCTGTCACGAGGTCTCAAGGACCGTGAAGCAAGACTTCACACTACGGGTCAAATGAGTCGGTGCTCGGTCCGAGACGCGATATGATATTCGCAACGAGTGTGAGACGCAAGTCTGTGATGGTTAGGCCAACTGCAGTGCACTAGCGTAATCTAATCATTACGGTTCCTTTTGCAGTAGCTAAACTCAAGCATAATTAAATTTTACATGATTATTGATCCATGAACAGAACGAGTGTGAACGCATTACTCAATAGCCCGAAAATCAACAGCCCTGACGTCGTGATCAGCAAGCATCAGAGGACGATCTCCCGGAGCGAGGATCTAACTAATGACGAGGCATCCTAGAGCATTGTGGTGAACGTGGCCAATCAGAGGCCTCGAAATAACCTTCTAATATTTGCTTTATGTTAGAGGACCTAGGTGCAGCAGAAATTAAAAGATGCACAAATGCTCTTTTCGATGAGGCCAGAATGACGGCGCCTGGCTACAACGTCGCAGAGCTATGATTTGTGTAGAATATATCTTAGAATATGCTTAAGAATCCTCCAACTTTTCTCTGTAATTTTGCTTTGAAGAAATCAAAAGCTATTCGAAAAGTAATGAAAAATTATTCGTTTCGCACTTTAACTTTCTTCTTCAAGTTTGCTTCACACCCAAGATTTTACTATTCGCAAAGCTTTTTTTAACAATGCTAGCAAGAAAGCACTGTATGATGAATAATTCAATACTTTCTAGTGACACGCTTTTGAACAAGCTTTTTTTATACTGTAATACAGAAAATACAACTTTCAATTTTCTACTCACCTTGTATTTTTCGAATTGCTCTTTAGAACTTTCCAGTTCTTTGCGTGCAGAATTCAATTCTCTTCTAAGAGAATCCATATCAGATTGCAGTATTCTGATATTACTCCGATGCCTATCACGTGACTTGCGAAAGTTTTCCTCCAAAATCAAAAACTTTTGCGACACTGTGGCATAACTTTCCTGAAACAGTGTACAATCAAGCCCATAATTATTATTGACAAGAAAATATGAAATCTAAATACAAAGGATACACTCTGCAAAATTTGAGATTTCTTTTTTAAAGATGATGACCTAGTCATTAAAAGTAACACTTTATCCATTGAGACTGACAACCTTGCAAAATAATATTATCATAAATTTCAAGAGATATAATCATTTCTTGAGTAAATAAATGTCAAGCTTCTTTATTTCATTGATGAGGCTTAGTCAGCTTCACCTTGCAGTAACAGCGGATGTCTTTCGAAATAGGCCACTATGTACTAACTAGGCTTGTGCAAATAGTTATGTTAGATTTGAACTGAATTGAAACTGAATAGTATATCTCACATATAAAGACAAAATCAGCATATTTGTCATGACAACTAACCAGCACAATATTTTTTAAAAATTGAAAAATGGTGCAAATGCAAATACTTTTGTTCAAAAGAAGTGAAAACAACTTGGAATAGAAGTAGCAGGGTTTGATCGAATAGAATGCAAGAGACAACCTGTAAATATGTTAGGTTCAGTGATGGGAAAGTCTTCCAGCATTTTAGACCAGCCATTAGAGCAGGCAAAATCTGATTTTGGGGCAGCTACCTCTGTGTTTGGAACAGGCACGGGCCTTCCATGACACACACAGAAAAAAATTAGTTCTAATTTAATGTTCCCTCAGTTTAAATAGTCATTTATATAGAAGCAGCAAGCCCATAAAATAGGCAGAAAAAATAAATAAAAGTAGAATTATGTACAAAAGCGGTGACATAAGATACGTAGTGACAGATATTGCACCAACAAGCTAGTTGCAGCCTGAAGTTCATAGAAGCGCGTGCGCACGCACACGGAGACACATTCAAAACTTGTTACTGTGAAACCTCGCTAATACATATGTATGTTGAGAACCTGCTGGGAATGCAGCTAACTATACATTAAACATAGCATGCATTAACCACCAAGTACATAATAAGCATGTGCAGGGTTTCCCTTTAAAATGTTTGTTGCGGCGACCCCCCCTTCCTCTCTACCATGTCAATATATGGGGCTGACTGGGCCTCCCCCTCGCCTCCTGTGCGCACGCCTATGACTAAGTGCATTTTTGCATTTTTTTACGAATGCCATCACTGCTAAAGAAGGAACAAATACAGTGCCACAGCAAATATTGCCTAAAAGAAATAGTTGGCATTCTCGCACGACTGTCCTATCGCAGGCGGTGTGGACACCGAAGCATTTCTAAACTACTGTGAAGTCCGATACGGAGCCAACGCAGTGACTCACATAGCAACAAAATGAACGTAATTGGCTGTTCGCGATGTGAAGAACAATTTGCTACTCAGCGAAAAACGAACAGTTTTCGCTGAAACTCTCAGCGAAAACTGACAGTACGATCGCAGGGAGCCGATGATCTACTGGCTAGTTGCGTGCAGCACTTTGCCTACTTGGCGCACACACCGTGCCGAGCCGCTTGGCCTACTCCCCTTCAGACCAGATGCAGCGAGACACTTCCTTCAATAACACGATAATACGAGCTTTCTTCAAGTGATGCTTTAGCAGTCCTAGCAGCGGGCCGAGGCCCGTGTGGACTGTTGCCTCATGATAGCTATGATGATCATGATAGCTATGATAGCTCATGATGCAACGCTCAACTTTGCAACAGCGAGCTGCTTTCATTTCTACAAAGCGGCACATGCTGAACATGGTTCTGCACAACGATTGAGGCGACAGCGATAGGCGCCTCAGGTAGTCACCAACTATTAAAAGCGTGCAGTATGCTTAAAGCGACACTATGCCACACACGTAGACTTTTTATCGCCGATAAGTCTTACTGATGCGCTTTTCAGTAGTCCAACATGGACTTCGTTCTTTGCCTATGATTATCAGAAAAGACACCATCATAATTGCATAGAAATTACAATATTTATCGGCCAATTCAGTGCTTTTGCAATAGCACAAGTGTACAAGATGGCGAACATCACGTAATATCCACTCACGATGCATGCTGTCAACATTACTTTCGGCTACAAAACCACCTTGTGGCGCAGCAATGACACAAATTAGACAAAAAAGACCCTTTTGGAGCTATATGACTCAGTAATTTCCAATTGGTGCAGGTTTCCCACCTTTGCACGAGGGACCTTCACCCGCAATTAACATCAAAAGCCTGGGCTATTATAAGCCATCATATCATTCGCAATCCCTTCGCTTTTTTTTTTCTCCCACTCAGTTCAGTTTTTGCAGAAAAATTTCCTCCCATAATTCTCACCCCCCAACTTTTTATTGATTTTCAGTGAAAAAAAGTGCAAGGATTATGCGAGTGAATATGGTATACAATTATTTGTTCATTTTAAGAAATTTCCACTAATTTAAGTTGAAATTAAAGCGAATTTGAATATTTGCATAAGGCTAATACTAACACATCTTGTAGGACGGTTACAAAGCTACAAATTACTAAACTCACACGTGCACAAGAAACGTATGGTTTTTAATTCTAGGTCTACAAAAACTTTACCAAGAACCCTCGGAGTCAACTCAATTGTGAGTAGAGGAGCGCATATCTTCTAGGCTAAGCCATGCAGCCTGGTGTCAGTTTTTTTAGGTCATGTGACACTTTATGAACATATAGAATTACCACGGTGCTTTTGAAAGAGTCTTCTCTCTTCTGGTTTTTTTTTTTTTGTGGTATTAATCCAGTTGATGATTTTAAGACTACCCTCACCGCTCAGCTACTTAGCAACAGGCTGAGCAATGCAATTACCAAAGAAGCTTTCATTAGCAGTAAAATGCGCTAGTATAGTTGCAATTCCTCTACCTGAAAATTAATTCATTTTTCCAGGAAGCCAAAAAAAGCTTCCTTCGACATTGAGATCATAGCGAGCTTAGTGATATTCAGAGATAAGCGACAACATCCATTCTGTTGTGAGCCGAGAAAGCCAGCAAATATTACCCTCATCAGTGCCATCGAGAACACGAGCAATCGAGTCGCTTGCGAGATGAGCAAGAGGGTATTCAATCTATTTCGGGCTCTACAACTACTCATGCTTGTCACCTGTAATTCAGCAGCAACAAAAACACCAGATCGGGTGCTCACGCAAAGTATGCACAGCATGGAATATGGAACTACGCTCCTGAGCCTAGCTACGCTGCTGACCTAGGATTTCACCATGGAATGTGCTAAGGCGCCTGCGCGCTCTCTTTCACCCTGCCCTAAGAACTAGTACATCATTAGTGCACACCTTTGCTCACCAGATTTATGCCACAAAATGTGGCAGGGGCTACAAGACACTGACCGGCGTTTCTAAAAAGGAGAGGAGTGCATCGATCTGGTTAAGAATGCATGAAGTAATATGAACATCAAGTTATAACACTTAATTACGTACTGAATTTTATAACAGTAAAATTCATTATATCAAGGTATAACTGTATACTAAAATCTCAAAAAACAAAAACCAAGACAAACTCTTTTATGCAGACCAGTGTGAAAAAAAAAGCAGAAAAATAATGGTTAAGGGGAAATGCGAGTGAAATAATGCAAGTTTTTTTCCTAAAATTTTATATTTTACATTTTTATTTGCTTTAAGAAGTTTAGTTTCTCTACTTTCATGACAAAAAAACTGAAGATTTCTATAAACTCGCAGTAAGTTAAGATCACTTTTAAAGAGCGCAAGGTGGCCACTTAAAACTAATACGCTGTTTAGAATCCCCTGGAAGTTGTCACCTGGCTGCTTGCCAATGCATTTCGCATTAGAAGTTCACTGAAGCCACATGCTTAAAATAACCATGATTGCCAAGCTCTTATGAATTGTGGAGATAGGTTTGCACTAGGCTTACCTACTATGCGCAACCATGTAGAAATGCGACGTCCTCCACTGCCGCTGCGTGCGAAGACGTTGCGGCCGGGTTCGTCGTTTTCTCCGGCACGGCGCAGAAACCACGCACGAGGCAGGATAACGACAACAACGGGTTTATTAACCCAAGATGCAGCTCAGTGCGACACTCACGGGCTTGCAGGCCGTATAGGGAACTTCGCAAGACCGAGCAAGTACGCTTGCCTAGGGCGCTACGACTCCCGCACAAGGGCCGAAGTCGTACGCACGAACGAGAAGCCGCCTGCTGAGCAGTGCGTCAACCTCTCGTGGAGGCCTGAGAGTATCTGCCGCGACGAGTGAATCGTCGGGCGCAACACAGCTCGTAGGAGAGGAGGATATCACACGCGCCCAAAGGAAAATGGCGCTGCGTTGTGACGTAGGCTCGCGCAGCGTAGCGTGCCCGGACATGCCAGCGCGGGTTGGAGCAGAGGCTTGACTCGCCCAGACCAAGAGGCGCCCTTGCAGCCATCGTGGCGAGTGCCGGCGATTATACGCACCCGGGCTACGCGGTCGGCGCGCGCGCGGCATCTGGGGAACGAGGTTGCTGGTACGGGGGCGCTTGATTCCCACATCCCCCCCCCCCTCCTAAGACCGAGGCCGCCCTAAAGACGCCGTAATAACAGCATCCACCGACACCGAAAAAACTGTGGTCCAGCTCAGTGCCGTCCACGAGATCAACGGGGGCCCCGGTGTCTTCGTTCGGCGGTGTCTCAGCAGGAACCTGGGACCGCGGGAGGGCGGCAGACACAGCAGCAGCAATGGCCGACTTGAATGAAGAGTCGGTGACGAGCGCCGCCACGACCGCCTGAACGGAGTTTGTCGACAGGGCGAGTCGAAGGCCCGGGCCAGGCGGCACCGCCGGAGTGGACAGGACCGCAAGGTCACCGCCGGACTTCGCTCGGTGAACCTGCGAACGGAGGTGGGTAGCCTCGAGCACCAGCAGGACACCACATGCGTCGCAGTAGGAGGCCTCAGGAACAGGCGACATCGAGGCACCTCCGGATGCGTCGAGCAGGTCCGAAAGGGTGCGTCCGCGGAAAGGACGTGGGACGGACTCGGGGTCTACCCCACCCAGAGTTTGCGTTGCTTGGACCAGCGACGAGTCGACACGAAGGTGAC